ATAAGAGCACATTGGTCAGTAATACGATCAAAGATACAACATCTTCATCAAAAAAAGGACATAATCGAGTGCATCCAAAAATTCAATCAAGAATGGCTGGGAGGAAATGAAGGAAGGAGCCTGGGAGAAGTGAAATGGCCGGGGAAGGAAGACCAGGGAGAAAATTTTAAAGAGACTTCCTCTTGAGCTTCAAAGACTGGTTTTCGCTTCCTCCAGGAACCACACTCAGATCTCCAGAATTTTTCCTGATCCCTTCCCCCCGTCACAATTAGCAATGGTGGATTCGCAATGGTATCCTCAATAAAGTATGAATGCAATATAAATTGGATATCTGAGGCTTTGGTGGCAATCTCAAGAAAAAGTTGTCTACATTGTTGGGCTATTTTTTAGACTATTTCCAGGAGACAATTCTTTGCTAGATTTAATAGTTGTATCTGACGGCCTGGTTTGGCTGAAGAGGCAGTTTTTATCTCTACATAATTTTATAAAGAAACAAAGACAATGTAAAAGGGACGTTGGACCCGGTTTCCAGCAGGTGACGCTCCCCACCAATAGATGGAGTCCCTACCCAGGGTTAGTGGTGTCTGCTCTTACCAGCAACACTAACATTGGTAATTTCAACGATAACGCGGAAGATTCATTTGCATTTCAACGTTGGCTTTGAGAGAGAGAGAGAGAGAGAGAGAGAGAGAGAGAGAGAGAGAGNGAGAGAGAGAGAGAGAGAGAGAGAGAGAGAGAGAGAGAGAGAGAGAGAGAGAGAGAGAGAGGGCGTCAGCCGACATCTGACGCCGAGTTTGGTGGACCAAACTCGGCGTCAGATGTTGGCTGACGCCCTCTCTCTCCCTCTCTCACGAGAATGAATCTTCCTCTTTATCGAGGAAGATTCATTCTCGTTGGGCATGTCTCGTTTTTTTTTTTTGTTTTTGTTTTTTTTTGGTAGAATGTTGTATGTTTTTTTTGTGTTCCCCCTCGACAATAAAGTTTGAGGCCCGGCAATGACCGGGCTACCGGTAGCCTGAGCCATGGGCCTTGACAACCGGTAGGTACTGGTGGTTAAAGGATGACTGTTGTGGATGGATTCCCCCTCCATTCTTCCACAATTAGTGCTGCTTGGGTTGCAGCCTTCTTTAGTTGGTTCGGCGGTGGATTGAAACCTAGTAACCACTCCCCTCCTTTCTTTGCCCTTCTCAGCGGGAAGAGGGCGACTCCGGGTGGTGCAACGAGAGGGATACTCTCGTCTTCTTGGAGTCTGACCAGATCCTTCAGTCTTTTTGGTACTTCAATTGCCAAAGTGTCGAAGGTGTCCTCGTCAGCCTCCTGTAGTTCTGTGGAATCGTCGGAATCGTCGTCATCTAGCATTATGTCCGAGTGTCTGAGTCGGAGTGGGGAGGGGTGTAGCAGGGCCTGACAATCAAGGAGAGGTCCTTGTGCTCCCAATTGGGTGATTGCTAGTTGGTCCTGAGTTTGGTCGGGATTTACAGGCTGTCCCTTTGTTAACTGTTGCTGTTGTGTTGCCCTTTCTGGAGTAAGCAGTCTGTCTACTGTCAGCAGAGTCCCATAGAGTGTGTTGCAGAGTTTGTGTACCAGGGTTTTGGGCCACGCCAGACCCTCGTGCATGAACACTTCTTCCTGCAGGTGTCGGTTTTGGGGTCGTCCGATGTGATCTGTGAGTGCAGTTAGATTTTTTGCAAATTGTTCTATTTTGTCTAGGAACTCATTGACCACGAAGACAATGGCTGCCCCCACGTCCATCCAGTCGATTGCTGAGGTGTCGTCATATTTTTGGACCGTGGCAAGGATTCTGGGGCTGTGCATCAGGACTTTTTTTGCTTCTTCGCAGTGACAAGTCTTTAATTTATCAGCTGGCCTGTCATATGTTAAGGATGAAATTTTCATCAAAGTCCAGTCCGTCAGGAAGCGGAAGCGGAACTTTTGTTTGACGTCGCCATTGGCTTTGAGTGACTCGGCAGGGGGGGTGGGGGCTGCGTCCATGTCCGTGTCAGTAGACTGGGGGTGATGTAGCCCCAACACCTGGTCCCCAATCAAGGCCGGACTGTCATTGGCAGGCGCCGAGGTATCCATGTTCGTGGGGCTCCTGTTCCTGCAGCTGGGCCTGTGTCTGGTCAGTATCGGTCAGCAGCAGGCAGTGTTGCTCCTGGGTGCTCTGCAAGCCCAACATGCTGGTCTGACTGTGTTGGCATTGCAGTTTCTCCATCTCTTGTTGCCAGCAGACTTGCAACTGTTGTTGTTGTTGTTGTTGGAGCACTTGCTCATGCTGGTTGAACTGAAAAAAAAAAAAAAAATGCTACCACCTCCAGAGGTGGTAGCAAAATGCCCTTCCTCGGTTGTTCTTGGGCAAGCAAAGGCCTGCCGGACTCTTGTTTTGGGTTCAGGCTCTGCCAAGTGTTGTTGGGGTAAAACCCACTTTCCTCCTGGGCACTACTCCCAGGTTTGTCAGTGTTTTTCATTCCGGGTTGTTTGTGAGGGATTCCCGGCCTCGTGTTTTATCATGATAATGGATTCCTTACTTTTTCCCAAAAAAAAAAAAAAAAAAAAAAAAGCCCTTCTCCGTGGCCCGCCAGGCCCCTGACATTTTGATACCCCGTTTGCTGCTTTTGGCACTTTCCCTGCCTCGTGAGACTGGCCCAACCATCAAATTTTAGCTACAGTCTTCCCCCGAATACAACGTACGGTCATTGTAGGTGAACTTGGGATATCTTTCAGTCTAAATACAGCTATAATGACCGAACGTTGTATTCGGCGGAAGAAGGGTAGTTTGCCATAAAAGGCCCTTAGCTAGTTTTTGTTGTGCATCGAAAGTCAAGCTGCACACGGTTGCCGTTCAAGTCGCTCGGGGGCCAAGTCCACTAGCAGCGTTGAGTTTCCGCAACGGATGAATCTGGACGTGTTTGTGAAGATGTGCAGAAATTGCACTGACTGTCGTCAACCACACATCCCCACAAACACGTCCAGATTCAGGCGTTCGGGCAACTCAACGCTGCTAGTGGGACTTGGCCCCGGGTCAGTTGCAGCTCGCGGCCGATCTACTGTATAGAGTATTGGGCCTGGCCTCGAGCAGGAGGAGGGTAGATAGAGGGCAAGGGCGACTGAGGGCATACTCACACGGGGACCAAAAGAACCAAAAATTTGAGGCATCTGGGTACGGTTATTTGGGTCATTTGGTCCCTGTGTGGTCACACGTGCGGACTTCGTCCAGAAAGGACGAAGTCGCAACCCTGACACTTCGCACTCAGGGCAAGGTCGTGTGGCCACACGAGGGGACACCAAAGAAAAAAGAAGGAAAAAAAGAAAAAAGAAAAGAAAAACAACTTGGGCTGGTTGTCTTATTCTTCTACGATTTTCTACAAATTGAGGAAACGAAACGAAAGTCATTTGAGACCACCTCTGGAGGTGGTCTCAAAAAGGGTACCCCCGCGGCCTCGCAGGCCGCTGACATTTGGTCACGATTTGAGGCCTTTGGGTACAGGGCCAACCCCGTGTGACCACAAAAATGCCTCAAATTTTGGGATTTTGGTTCATTTGGTCCCCGTGTGAGTATGCCCTGACTCTCTACGCACAGTGATTGAACGTATGGTGGAAGCCGCGAAGCTGATGCAGAGTACTGTGCCTG